GCAAAAGATTTCATCTGCAAACAAGTATTCACGCCTTTACCCATGCTTTAGAGGGAATGGACATGGGAATCCTAATTCAATAGTGGACTGCAAGTGGGAAATCTGCACCCCATGAGCCAGGGGCTGCTCATCCGCCTTCCCCGGGGCTACTTCCCCTCCAGGGACAGGCTCTGGCCCATCCACAAACGGAGAAGAGTCTCCTCTGGTTGAGAGCCAGGCCTGGATCTGTTCTAAAAGGACATTGCAAACTCAACAGAATAGACCCATTTTCCTCCCTCCTCCTGCTCTGGCCCTGTTGACTCTCCAGTCACCACTGGAAGCTACTCCCTTCTCCCCACCTCCCACATCTGGTAAGCTCCTTCTCCCGTTACCTCTGGACTCTGGCTCTTTTTCCATTATCTTACCCAAGGCTTCACCATTTCTCCTCAGCCTCCCTGCCAGTCTCCATGCCTCTGTGTTTGTAAGACCCAAATCTTCTTGTCACTTCCCTTTCTAAACCTCTCTCTGGGCCCCTCATCCCCACAAGATAAAGTCTCACTCTGGATTGTGGGGCCCTTCACAGCCCAGCCCTGCCTTCCTTTCATTTCATTTCCATTTCTGGAGCCTTCCGTGTGCTGAGCCATGTGCTAGATGCTGGAAATACGAAATTAAAGAGCCTAGAGCTCACAGGAGAGAAAGGTGAGTGAACACACAATTGATAAAATGCAATGGGCTTAGTAGAAATGGAGGAGGCCTTCATAGACTCTTAACCACTTAGTGGCAACTCCTGGAAGCAGTTGGTGCAGAACCAGGGCCACAGCTCAATCTCTAGCTCCAGGGCAGAGCTCTTTCCACTGCTTGATGCAGTCTGGCCACAAGACTTCTGTTTCGCCCGACAGAATGAAAAAAAAGAGGTGGACACAAAATGACACAAAATGACCCATGATTAAAATATAAATTAAGTATTAAAATGCAAACCCCCACAAAAGTTACTACAGGAACACTACATTACAGTGAAACAAGATCACATACATACTGTACTTATAAGACACAAACAGGGAGATACTCAACACACTTAAGCACAGCCCTGATGCTAGCTGGTGAGCCAAATGGTAAAGAGAATACCAAGATAACGGCTCACATGCAGGTGCCAATAGTGCCATTTGGGCAGGGGTAAAATGGTACCCATACCTTTTTATTCCGATTCCTACAAAAAGTTAAAAGAAAATTACTTTTAAAAATCGAATGAATAAAATGCACATGCTTAAAGCTTGAATTTATTTCAAGGAGCCAAGAAACTAAATTTGAGAAGCCGTTAAGTGATTTCTAAGAGAATTCCAAAAGGAGATTGGGAGGATGTCATGTCAAAATTAAGGCAGAGAGAAGAGCAGAGGGAAAGAGATGGTAAGAGATTTCTGGCATGCTCTCTGTCCTCAGAGAATATTGTCTAGTTTTGTGGGACCATGTTTTAAACTGCAGGCTGCACAATCAGGTCAAGAAAGCAATTTAGTGGGTCATGACACTCAATTTTTTTTTTTAAATGAAAGAGAACAGAATCTAATAGAAAGCATTAGGTTGCATTTCATGTAGCAAGAGAAATACTGAGGTTTATGTATAATCGTGCCTACACTTGTGTATTAGTTTGCAATGTAACATGCATTTCACATGGTGGGTTGCAGTCACAAAAGTTTGAAAAATATTCTTGTTTAGAAGACTTTCGTTAGAAAGGACTTTATTTCTAACACATACTAACCACACTCAGTTATAAGTACTGACTTTTTTCTCATTCTTGGAGTTTGTGCTAAAATTAAACAGACAATGCAGGTGGAATATTAGAACTGGAAGGAGGAAGGAAGCAAATTAGCAGCATGTAAGTGAGTGAACTGATAACAAGAGACTACAGAGCAAAAGAATGAGATAGACGAGCTCTGGCCTTTTTTCTGAAGCCTTTTGCTTGTGATAACTAAGGATTCCCTGGATATTTTCCATCCTCTTTGGAGCACGGGTACACAATAGCTGCTCACTGCTCGTCCAGTGACCCTGACCCTCTGCAACGCCTGTGTTCTCTCTGTGGCAATGCTCCTCATGCGGGGTGATGGCTACCTTTCTGTTGACAGTTCCCTCCACTTAACACCAACTCCTTGGAGGCTGGACTAATGTCATAAAGATGCTATGTCCTCACCCCTATGAAATCCACTGACAGACAGTAAGTGTTCAATAAATTTCAGGTAGATTGAACTGAAGGGCATTAACAGACAATAAAGATCTAGTTATAATACCCATTTGATGCCTTTGCAAACACAAACTGATTTCGGTTCATTGGGCAAGATATTCTAATTGGAGAAAAACAACAATGAAACTCCAAACTTAAGTTGCCAAGGAGCATATATAGCTTGGAATCTCTTATGTCTCTTGGCCCAGAAGTCAGGTTGGCTCAAAGGAGTCATCTTGTCCCTTTATAGAGTAAGAGCCTTTTGAAATGAGACAGGTTATTTAGGATATTGAGCATGGACCTACTTCTTGGACCCAGCCTGGCTCCTGGGGACACATTGGAGAAGCTTTTTCTAGTCTGGACAGCTTGAGGGCAACAACCACTTTGAATCCAAAGCTGCTGAGCTATTTCAGAGCTCCCATCCACATGGCTAACTGGGGCAGGCAGGATGCCCAGGAGGGCCCGAGGTAGAGGGCTGGATTTACAGAAGCAGTCAATTGACCAAGTAAACCAACAATAAATCAAGCCTTGGTTGCTTCTCCACAAGCAGCCCAGGCTGTGGGGAAATGAGAAGGGTGCAGGAAGTAGTTGAGTCCCTTCCCCTTCTTCAGCTCTGTCATTCCTCGATGTCTGAGTCTAGGGGTCCAAACCAACTCCTAGTAGTGCAGCTGTTGAGGGGGGGTGGCTTAGGATGCCCTGTACGTAGGTAGGGAAGGATGGTGCTGGTCACACCAGGCCACATTCCTTGGAAAGGCAGGCGGTATGTGGGGAGATGGGTGGAAGTCACCCTACACCAAAAGGCTAATTCGAATTCAATGGTTTGCTCACAAGGGGAGACTTACTCTTGTCCTCAGCTAGGCAAACATCCCAATAGCTATTGGCAGTAGAAAGTCCTCTTTCTCAAGGACACTGAGTATTAAAGGTAGAAATACATGCCCTTTCCCTTCAGATATACTAAAGCAATGGCTTTAACCTTCATGTGCTCCTTATACACGGTCAAGTCTCACTTCTCTGTGATCAGGGGGCAAGGGAGGGAGTAAACTCTGGTCTGCAGAGTTTAATGGATACCATGGACTCTAGAACACTTCCTTTAGCAAAGAGGTCAGCCTCCATTCCCCACCCAGTCTGTATCCCAGTCTCCCTCTGACCATCTGCCCGCATATGCTGAAGGAATATAAATCATCCTTGGTTTAGCTTGAGCAAAATGTAATCAAGAAGGCCAGTTGGCTTGGGGCCAGGGGAGCAAGAAGAGAGCTGTGTACCATGTACTCCAACGAAGCAGGAACACAGTTTGGGCTGGTTTTTTGTTTTTTTGTTTTTAAATAATACTATCTATGTCTCTATGTAGTTTGAACCTCAATTCTAACTTCAGTGTCCTTTAATCTTTCTGCCTCAGTTTCCTAAGAAATCATATGCAAAAGACAAAACACGCATCTACGATGTCTAGCAGAGCCTCACAACTTAATGGGCCAGCCCACTGCATTAATTATCATTAGGACTGCAGTAGTGCAAAGTGGATCGAAGCACAGGTTTTAGAGTCAGAAGGACTCCGCACGATGCTGGCTCCATGGACCTCAATCAGCCATGAGGAAATTTACTTAACTTCTCTGAACCTTAACTGAATCACCTACAAAAAGGGGACGATAAAACCATTTCATAGGATTACTGTAACTATTAAAAGAGCATCTGTATTGCAAATGCTTGGCACAGAGGAGATGACCATAAATGATGGTTATTCTTATGATAATGGCTTGCTGCCTGAGACATGCCCCCACTAAAGATCTGCTCTGTAGTTAACCCAGGCAAACAGATGAATTTCCTCAAAAGCTACTGGTGCTCAACATCCCAAATGCCAGCATGTCCCCCCATGTCCCTGCTCCTCCTCCCATGTTCCCTATTACTGTGTGTGGTGTACCAGCTTCCCTGTCATCCGTGTGAGAAACCCTACGGTCCTTGTTGACTTCTCCCTCTGCCCCTACAGCAAATCTGTCATTAGGTTATGGTGATTCTGCTTCTCAAATACCTCAACTCCGTCTGCTTCTCTCCATCGGCCTGCCACAACAGGAGTTCAGGCCACCATCAACCTGTCCCTAGATACCAAGTCTCCAACCTGGCCTCCCTGCCTCCCCCTCCCCGCTTCAAGCCACTCTCCAAGCTACAACTACTGTCATGTTTCTAAAGTACAAATCTGATTGTGTCTCTCTCCTGCTTTGGCTCCCCCAAATAAAATCCAAGTTCCTTAATGTGGCTTCTAGAGCCAGCCACGATCTGCCTAGTGTTAGCTCCCTCCCCAGCCTCATCTCTCGCCATGTCCCTGCTCGTTCTGTGCGCTCCAGCCACGTCGACTAACTTGCAGTTCCCCAAGTGAGTCTTTTCTCTCTCTCTCTCTGCTGGGATTTCATGCATCATCCCCTCTTAGAATATTCCTTCGTATCTTCTCTTCCCTATGCTAACTTACTCTCAAATTAGGTTTCGGTACAGGTACAGGAATCTTTCCCACTTGGATACTAGGTTAGATGCCCCTTCCTCCTCTGTTTTGTAAATGTTTCTTTGTTCTTCTCCTTTACTAGTCAGGGAGCCCCTTGAGGACAAAATGCATTTTTTGTCATTGAAACACCCCAAGAGCCACAAATAGCAACTGGCACAAAACAGGCACTCAGATGTTTGTTTGTTGGGCAGATGGGTGGATGGCCCTCCCAACAACAATGGCGCTGCCCTGTGGAGCGATCTCTGGTGGAAGGTGGCAGTGGCATTGAGCTGCCTAGTAGCTAAGCCAACCACAGGTAGCAGAAGGTGTCCGTCCACCTACCTAGGATGGCCACCACCTCATCATCCTGGATCACCTCTAGGGAGCCGGAGACCACAAAGCAGAGGCTGTCCACACTCTCTCCTGCGTGGTAGATGAGGTCCCCCGGGGCGCAGTGCACCGTCTGGAACTCCATGGCCAGTGCCCGCAGGCAGCCATCGCTGGCCAGCCGGAAGGCTGGGTGCTCCTTGAACACCTTGCGGTTCAGGTGTACACAGATGTCAGCTCTCATGTCCTTGGGGCAGATCTGTAGGACCTGGCCAGGCACAGGAGAAACAATGTGAGGGTCCTTACTGTGACCAATGGCCTCAGCACTGCAGGGGCAGAAGCAACACACTCACTAGGCCAGACTGTGCTCTTCCAGCCAAAGTACCTGCCCTCGTGGAGCTTCCATTCTTGTAGGAGAGACAGGCAGTGTCCAAAACAATCTGTGCTAAATGCTCAAGAGTCTGAGAGTATGTGGGGACTCCCACAGAGCAGTACATTAGGAAGTGACATTTAAGCTGACACCTAAAACTTGTGTCATAGTGGGCCCCATGAAAAAAGAACATTCTAGTAGGATGGCAAACACAAAGGGGCCTGAGCAATAGCCAACGTGAATGAGGGCAAAGGGGGAGGAGAGGAGGTTCAGAGAGAACACCCAACATGGGAGACTTTCAGGCTATGGTAAGTCACTGATTGTATTCTGAGTTTGCTGGGGAAACGCTGGAGGATTTTTGAGCAGGGGAATGGCATGGCCTTATGTCATAGGCTCATAGCAGCTAGAGAGTAGGTGAGCGAACCCCGACTGTTGAGTGGCAAGAGTGGAGTCAGGAAGTCCAGTTAGGTCACTCCTGGAGTGGTCCAGGTGAGCGGTGAGGGGAACTCAGACTGGGACGCTGGCAGTGGAGTCTGGGAGAAGTGGCCAAATTCAGAACATGTTTGGATATAGAACTGACATGATCTGCTGGTGGAGTGAATATGGGATGTTATTTTTAAAAGATATAAAGAACATTTGCTGAACATGGACGGTATGCCAGGCATTGCCAAGCCCTTTGGGATCATCCATTCATTTTATATTTATGGTACGCCAGGCATCCTTCTAGGCTGCACGTGCAGCAGTGAAGAAAAGAAAAAGATAGAAGTCCCTGCCCTTGTGTAACTTACCATCTAGCAGGAGGGGACAAATAATGAGCAAAATAAATGAAATTTAGTGGTAAGTGCTAAGGAGAATAAAGAAGGAAATAAGCATAGGAAAGGTTGGGAAGGGTTGTGATTTTACATTAAATATTGTATGTGTTAGTTAATTTAATCTTCATATAAAACCTTATGAAGTAAGTGCTTTTACTATATCATTTTACAGATGAGGAATCCAAGGTCTAAGCAAGATAAATAAGTTGCCCAGCCAGGAAATGGCAGAGCGGGGACCTCTAACGGGGTAGTTTGACAGCAGAGCCTGGGTTACATCCTAACCACTTCCTAAACTAGGCAGCTGCCCAAAACAGAGGGGCTTATAATTTGACTCAAGGCATCTTGGCAGCAGCCCAGAATTCATGCAAAAATGGGAACCGTAGGAGGCCACGCAAGTCTCACATCTCCTGAAGAAATAAAACATTCCCCGGTTTTTCTAGAGTTAGAAATATTTCCCTGAAATACATCTTCACAAAAAAACCCATTGCATGGCCCCTCTTACGTGGCAAGCATTAAGTAACACAATAGGACACCATCAAATGAACTTTTCCCAGAGAAATCAAGAGTGTTTCTAAATAATCCTTTCTCTCATCCTAGCTTGTGAACAAAGCTGGGGGCATAAAATCAAACGTGTTCAGTGAAGACAGTTTCCTTGAGGTGCTGGGTACTGTCCCACCGCTGCTTCTCCGCCTGAGCACAAGCCTTGTGCATCCAGAGCACTCTCTCAGATGTGGAAGCCCCTTAGCCTCCTTCAAAGCCCAGTTCGAATCTCGCCTCGCCCTTGACGGCTCCACCCCCTGACCCTCTCAGGGGCCCCTGTGTTGTGCCTGGAGGCACAGCAGTGGAAACAGGTCAGATACTTGAAACCCCAGCTCCTTCCCCTCCAGGTGACACTTCAGTTTCTCCTGTAAAACGCAGACTGCTAACCTTGACTCGTGAGGATGAAATGAAATCACACCTGCTGCTATACTGCCCGGGTGACGCTTGGCCCCATCAGGAGAGTCCATAACACAGGGCCCCTCCCTCTGTGTGCCACTGTCTTCTTTCTCTGAGGCACTTCCAGGACGCCCAGGGAGTGAGCCAGCTCTCTGGGAGGTGAGGATGGAGGACTGACCGAGGCAGAGATTCGGAACGTCAACGTTTGGGCAGAGCACTTGCTAAGTGCTTCCCTCCACAAGGCTCATTAAGAACAAAACTCGGCCGGGCACGGTGGCTCATGCCTGTAATCCCAGCACTCTGGGAGGCCAAGGCAGGTGGATCGTTTGAGCTCAGGAGTTCGAGACCAGCCTGAGCAAGAGCGAGACCCTGTCTCGACTAAAAAAATAGAAATTGGCTGGACAACTAAAAAATTATATATATATATGTATGTATATGTGTATATATATATAAATTAGCCAGGCATGGTGGTGCATGCCTGTAGTCCCAGCTACTTGGGAGGCTGAGGCAGGAGGATCACTTGAGCCCAGGAGTTTGAGGTTGCTGTGAGCCAGGCTGACGCCACGGCATTGTAACCTGGGCAGCAGAGTAAGACTGTGTCTCAAAAGAAAAAAAAAAAAAAGATTCCTGCAGAAACTCAGATTTAATTTGGGTCCTCTTCTCCCCAGGCAGATCACCAGGGAGTGAGGGACACTCACATGTCATGTCACAGTTGTGCCTGGTCGTTCAGAAGCAAGATGGATTCTCCAGGTGAGTTCACCTTTAAATATTTGGTTTCCCCTGGACTAGACTTTGCCGGCAGAGGCTGCTAGAGAATAAGGCCTTGGCATGGAGACAATGTTTTCCTCATGGGCATTGTTCCCAGAGCAGGGGAGAGTACAGTGTGAGGAGGTGAGGGAAGTGGGGGGAGGGGGGAGCTGCAGACTGTCACAGCCATCAGTCGCATCCATCGTCCCTCTGCTGGCTCTTCAATGAGGTGGGACAAGTGTCTGCAACTCTTCTGAAGGAGGGTCTCAGCTCTGAGATCCCACAGCCTTCCTGGGCCACCTTCCCCACTGCTCGGTTCTGAGGAGAGACCATCCTTGCTGTCCCTTGAGGAAGTGTCACTACGGAGGCTCGTGGAGGTCCCCCAGGCTGGGCAGGACAGAGTGATGGGAAAAAGAGAAGGGGCTGTAGGATCAGGCAGATCTAGATTCGAGTCCCAGCCTCAGCACTCACTAGATGTGTGAACTTGGAGCAACACTTAGCTCTTCTCCCTGAATCTTCATTTTTGAACTTGAACATAGAATTCTTCGGAGGTTCCATGACCTGTCGTGTGGGCAGTCCTGGGCCAATGCCTGGCACATATGAGCGCTCAATGTCTGTGTCATTTTTGATGGTATCACAGCAGCAGCAGGTCATCTGAAGGAGGCTTTGAAGTCTAGAAGGTCATAGCCAAAAGGGCCTTAGAGGTCATCTTTTCTTAAAATTCATCTAGTGTCCATGTGTTACAGACATGGAAACTGAGGCTCAGAGACACAAGGGATGTGCTCAAGATCACGGATGAATTACCGGTAAGACTGGTACCCTGTCCATGCTCCACCCCCAGCTCCCCTGGTCACCACTGGCCATTCTGACCTAGAATGGAGAGGAGGGGAAGCCAGGGAGAGGGTGGGGCCATAGGACTTGTTCTCTCCCCAGCAATTGCCTGTCACTAGAGCCGGCCAGGAGGAACGGCCGCTCCAAGCCAGGCCGGGCTCTGCAAGGAGTTGCCACTGCTGACTTCATGGCTATTCCCTTTTCCATCGGGACCAGGAACGTGGGGCAAATCCCAAAGCCCTCCAGGAAAGTGAGACCACGAGGTGGGGGGATGAGAGGGCAAATGCTGACGGTGCTCTCTCCCATGGGCAGCCGCCCAGCCCAGCCCTGCAGAGAGGGTTGGGAAGGGCTCCGTTCCAGGCGACCAGATTTACAAAGGCATCCTGCTGCCTGGGAAAAGGAGCCCCAGGGCAGCGAGATCAAAGTTCCTTTCTGCTCCATCAGCTGCCAGGAACCCACAGAACCTACAGGCATTGTTGGGAGAGTAGAGCAGAAACAACAGGAGCAGTTGGGCAGGAGACTGGCAAAGCCTGGGACTAAGTTCAGTTCCGGCTGATGCCCTGCCTGCTTAAGAAATTAGAACAACTCTGTTTGGACTCATCCTTCTTTCTCTCTAGCATGTGTTTTAAATGTTTTTCTTTTTAAAAAAGTAATAGTAGGAAAAGCACAAGCTTTGACTTCAGACAAAACTATATTCAGATGTTGGTTTTGCCGTTCTTTGCTCTGTGACCAGGGGCGGTCAGGCCCTGTCATCCTTGCCCCTTCAAAAGGCTAACACAAGTGCTGCCTCCCAGAGCTCTTGTGGAGCCTGCATGAGGCACTAGTACAGGGCCAGGCATGTAGGAGAAGTGCAAGAAATATCAGTTCTTAATGCACGTTCAAGAAATGGTAGCTGGGGATGTAGCGACATTGTTATTGTTATCACAGCAGATGGTCAACAAAGTTAAAGTAACATTCCTTTGAAGTTGAGGATCAGTTAAATCCAGTTCAATGTTTCCTTTTAAATTGTCAGCTCTCAACCGCCTATTCTAATGGAGGAAGACAGGAACATGGATAACTGATCCCAAAGCCACTTGAATTTGGCTTTGAGCGCGTCATCAGATATTTTTGCAACAGCGTTATCTTTCTGTTTTCCTCCTTCTAATAGTGAAAGGAATCGCTATGCCCCAAGGACTTACAGATTAACGATAAAGAGAGGAAACTTGTGGGTGCAAAGACTGAGAAGCAGAGAACAATGGATCTGGGGTTAAAACGTTGCTTACAGAAAATACACAAAGAAAATAACTCATAAATGAATAATAGAAAGTCTACTGTATCTTTTTTCCTATTATTTCTGGTAGCACCAATTTTCTTCACTTCGTTGAAATGCATCTAGAATAATACAACTCAGAAAACAATAGGGATTTATCATTCTCTCCATTTTACAGGTGGGAAAACATGCCAAGAGAGGTACCTAACTGACGCTCTGATCAAGTCAATGAACAATTAAGACATAAGCCCCTGATTGGTGTTTCCTGGTGTGATAAATACGATGACATGGATACTTGTTAAAAGTCCCCCTTCATCTCCCCCAAGTTCTCATTCCATAGATCTGGGATGGAGATGGGGATTCTGTTTTTAATGGCCACACTGTGGGATTCTTATCAGGGTCAAGACTTGGGTGAGGTGAGTGAGATAACAGCCTTGGACACATAATTTAAGGGGATGACAAAAAACTCAGTAATCGAAATGAATCATAGTTTAATGCAAGGATATTTTAAAAAATTAAAGTTCGTGCAAAAAATCTATAATGAACAAAACAACAAAAGTTTGAATGAAAGACCAGATCAGTATTAGTGCTGTGCCAGTATTCCTGGAGTCGGGGCAAAAGGAAAATCAGGAATAGTGATCACCCTGCTCTAGTCATGGACTTGATTCTTACCATCATCCAAATTTGGGAAATTCTTCCCTGTACGGTTAGACTTCTAGTTCCTCTCTTTTCCAGGAGATATACCCTGCCCTTCCAATTTCTTTCTTTCTTTTTTTTTTTTGAGACAGAGTCTCGCTTGTTGCCCAGGCTAGAGTGAGTGCCGTGGCATCAGCCTAGCTCACAGCAACCTCAATCTCCTGGACTCAGGTGATCCTCCTGCCTCAGCCTCCCAAGTAGCAGGGATTGCAGGCATGCACCACCATGCCCAGCTAATTTTTTCTATATATATTATTTGGCCAATTAATTTCTTTCTATTTATAGTAGAGACAGGGGGTCTTACTCTTCCTCGGGCTGGTTTCGAACTCCTGACCTAGAGCAATCTGCCCGCCTTGGCCTCCCAGAGTGCTAGGATTACAGGCATGAGCCACCGCGCCCGGCCCCAATTTCTTAAGTAATGTCTCCTAGTTGCTGGTCTTGGGGTAAGGCTTATCAGGAAGCAATCAAAACCCCTGGAGGTAGGACCCGGGAATCCAGAACCTCCTAGATGAATTCTGAGCACAGCCAGGTTTGAGAAGCTCCTGCCCTGAGAGAGTCCAGCCCCCGCAGTGAAAGTCTAGAGACCAGTGGTTCACCGGAGCCCCCTGCCCTCCTTACCTTCTCTGTGTCAATGCCTCTGGACATGGACCAAGTGGACACGATGTAATCCATGACTCGCTCGCTCAGTCCTTTCGGCACCTGATAGAGCTTCAGGAAGTCCCGGACGCTGTTGAGCATCTCGTGGTACCTGTTGGTGTTGGCATACATCTGTTGGAAAATGGTCGTCACATTCCCAAAGATGGTGGCATAGAGAAGCGCTAGAGGGGAGGAGGAGAAGAAACAGCACGTGAGTGGTCCCTGAGCCAGGGTCCTGGAATGTCCAACTTGTCCAGAGCAGGCCAATGGCCAGAGCCACCCTGTCGCCGGTGCAGACCGTCCTGACCCTTCTCAGGAGCACCTCATACCTGGAGCCTTTGGGGAGTGGAGACAGAGAGTCTCCTAACACCAGGCCACTAGGACAAATGCGTGGGAGGTAGGGCTAGGGTGGCTGGTAGCTGACGCGGCTGGTGACAGAGCTAGGACACAGATAACAGTGTGTGTGTGCGTGTGTGGGGGGGGGTTAGTTGTACTATTTCACTTTATACTTGTCATCAAAAGTCTGAGCCATACCCAAGGCATCAGTTGCGCATTGTGCTCCATTCCAGTCCAAATCCAAACCATCGGTGAACAATCTTTATCAAGCTCTGCTGTGTGTCAAGCACCATGCTACCTGCTGGGGACAGGATGGTGAATAAGACACCCAGACCCAGTTCGCACAGAGCAAACAATGGGGCAGGAAGGACAGACCCTGAATACCTAACCACAAATAATTAAATAACAGCAAGTCTGCAGAGGGCAACGAAGGATGTTATATCCTTGTTTTGTACTTATTGTTAATGTAACAACAATCTGCTTCACTGTGGTGGGTGGCTCCTCGGGGAAAAAATACATGGCTCTGATACGGTGACAATGGAACCAGGTCCCCTTGGAGATGTACTATGTGCTACCACTGCTCCCCCTACGTTAGCATCACGAAGAACAACCACAGCTCATCACAGAACCCCACTTTCTTTCTTTAACTCCCATTGCCCTTGAATGCTGAGCTCAAGAGCCACCACTTCCAGGAAGCCTTTCCCAACATCCTATCCCATCCTGTCCGTTGTCACGGCGAAGGTGACCATGACTCACCAGGCATGTTTCTATAGAGCTCATATCGTTTTGCAATTATATGCTTCTTTCTTTGCCTGTTCTCTGGCAGAATATGATTTGTTTGAAGCCTGGACCCATCTTTTCCTTGGCTTTGAATCTCTAGGATCTAACACTATGCCAGTACTTAATAAATGTTTGTCAAATTAGTGAATTTCACGTGTTTTTGCTCTGGCTTTTAAAAAAACTGATTAATATATAATTACATATTTAAAGTATATAATTTGCTAAATGTTGACATGTGTATATCAACAAAACCATCATCACAATCAAAATAGTGAACATGTCCATCAGCCCTAAAAGTTTTGTCATGTCCCTTTGTCATCCCTTCCTCCTGCCCCTACCCACCCTCCACACTCCATCCCCAAGTAACCACTGATCTCTTTTCTGTCACCATAGATTAGTTGACATTTTCTAGAATTTTACACATGGAATCATAAAGTCTATACTTTTAAAACAGAGATATAATTCATACAATATAAAATGTGTCCATTTAAAGCATACATTTCAATCATTTTTAGTATATTTACAGAGTAATGCAACCATTGCCACGATCTAACTTTAGAATATTTTCATACCCCCAAAAGAAACCCTATACCCATTACCAGTCATTCTCCATTTCCCCCCACCCAACCCTCTATACCGAGGCAACTGCTAATCTACTTTCTGTCTCTATAGATCTGTGCGTAAGTTGAAATCATACAATATGTGGTCTTCTGTGACTTGCTTCTTTCACTTAATGTTTTCAAAGTTCATCTATATTGTAACATCTATCAGTACTTTATTCCTTTTTATTGCTGAATAAGACTCCATTGAACAGATATGCCATATTTCAGTTGTCCATTCAACATTTCATGGGCATTTAAGTTGTTTCTGCTTTTTGGCTATTGTCAATAATGCTACTATATAAACATTCTTGTACATTCAGTTTTTGTGGGAACATATTTTCGATTATTTTGAATATATACCTAGGAGAGAAACGACTGGGTCATAGGGTAACTATGGTTAACATGTCTGGGAAACTGCCAAACTGTTTTCCAAAGCATCTATACCATTTTGGACTACTCAGAGTCCCCAGAGAAGACTCAGTCTCCTGTCTGGAGAATACTGGCAACATTCAGTTATTAAAGGGGAGAGGGAAAGGTTGCAGACTTCGACACTGAGTGTATAAACTTTCCCTTAATCCTTGTTTTTTTTATCTAGTACCTCTGACTTCCACTGTGCTCTGTTGTCCCGAGTCCAGAGACTTCCCTCTCAAGAATAAACTAGGCTTTGGGAGTGGGGGAGGGGCAGCGACACATCCGCATAGAATGAGAAGACAGCTGGGTGTCTAAATGCTTCTTAAACAAATTTTCAACCAGCTCTCCTTTTCTTAGCCCCAACTTCACCCACCCTCACAGAGGTACTTATTGCCACTAACACGTCTTTGGGAGCTCTGGTGCAAACCGAATTCTTTTTCAGTTTTCCCCTCTGTCCCCGTGGGGTTCAGCTTTACAGGGTCTATCAAGTCCATCGTGGCTTTCCGGCTTTCAGCTTTTTGTTACTCTTGTCTCTCCTCTCATTCTTTTCATCTTCATGGATTTATGCTCTTAATAAAACTTTCCCTTTGCTGTTGCTTCCGTGGGCTTTCAGGAGTGATGGGATGTAAACGTGTGCGCTCAGCCGGCCATGGTAACAGCAGCAATATTAATGGCTTGAAAAGGCTTTAAGAATCGTCAGCTGAGGCCCATGTGCAAATGAAAAATGGTCTCCGAATCTCCAAAGTCAAGTGCTCAGAGAGAACCAGTAATGATAAATAACAACACTACCTCAAGGCAGATATTATCACTATTTTAGCAGATAAGGAAAGCAAAGTCCAAGATCAGAGAAACTGTGCAGGGAGGCCAGACTCAGGACCTGTCGGACCCCAACGCCACTCTGTATGCACTAATAACTCGTCTATTCTCAAGCTTCAGTACGGATCAGAATCACAGGGAGGCCTTTAAAACAGCTTTTGGACCTTGCCTGCAGAGTTTCTGACTCAGTCGGTCTTGAGTGGGTATATTTCTAACAAGTTCCTGAGTGATACTGCTCCTGGTTGGAACTTAGAGAAGCACAGTACTGTGACTATCTGCTATTGCAACTCCTGGTTTTATTTCAGAATATATTGTTAAACGGTATGGACATAAACGTTGATTTTTAACTCGTTCTTCATCAGGGCTGGTTGAATTATTCACTGATTACTTTTTCCAGAATAGGGATAAACAGACCAAAAAGAAACAGTGGCTTATCTAATAAAAGCCAGCCTTTTCTAAATATAGACAGTGGCAATTCTGTCTCTCTCTCTCATCTCCTCTCCCATCCTTCAATTCTAGTCCCACCTTGGCCACCCTGCCATCCCTTGGTCTCATAGGTATCAGGAGAAGAACTGTGGAAATAGAAGTCCTTTCCAAGCCTTGCTTTTGAACCAGACAATGCAACAGCTATTAATATTAAGATTACATTTTACCGCTGCTTATTTTAAGTAGACTCAATTCCATTGTTTTGCCAAAAAAATAAAAAAAGACTCTTGTTATGTGAATGTCCCTTTAAATAAAATCTCCAGTCTTATGATCCTTGATTCCCCATAGCCGGCCATCTGATTAGGAGGAACCGCTCATTAAATCAGGGAGCCACACTGGTGGCCGTGCGGGGGATAGGCCGGGGGTGGGGGTCATTAACACACACGACATTGGCACTGAGAGCTCAGAGTGGTCCAGACACTCTGTCACTTCCAAGTCATTAATGAAACAGAGCAAATAGAGTCTAAAAAGACAAAGAAAGAGGCCAGAAGTTGAATTTTCTGTTTTGTATGTTAAGGGCAGCCCGGCAAATCCATACAAGTGAATCCAGTGACTTCTGCACCCACAATATTCTCTCTTGATAAGGAAAGAAGGAAGGAGTCTTCAGAGTTATACCCTCTCTTTGGTTCAAATTCCAGCTCAGGTGCTTAGAACTGTGTGGCCAGAGGTAAAACATTCATTCTCCCTCTGTTCCTGTCAGTCTAACAAAAAAGAAAGAAAGAAAATACCTGCTCACTTCCCTGGGTCTCTGAATACAGAGGAAGATGCCACAGAATTAAATGAGATACTGTGTGCAAGTACCCAGAATACTGAGCTGGTACATGCAGACCCCTCCCCCCCAGTGTTGTTTTCTCTTCCAGTTAACTGTCCTGGAGTCAACTGTCAAGACAGTTAACACACATTAGATGGCATGTCGTTAAGACAGTAACCTGGGACAGCAGCCTGAATGAAGACTGTTTTTTAATTATATAGGTAGACTCAAAATTTATCATTACAGGACAATACTGTGGTCCAAAAGAGAGAGACATTTTAAATCACACTCACTATGCATACAGGCCTTCCACACAAGCTCTAAAATCCATGAACGCTAAGAACTTTGACATATCAGCTGAAATATCAACTACACATTTAGTGATTTCGAATGAAAGTATTCATGGATGAGGAAGGGCTGAAGAGTAATTATAGACCTGGGGGGAGAAGGGGAGGGAGAGGAAATAAGGCCTGGGAACCAGACTTGGTCCTTATTCCATTGCATCTGGCCCACATAACAGCAACACGTCTAATTTTGTGAAAGTAGTATTTTTGGTCTTCGCTGTTGTTATTGCTTTTGCTTATTCTAATGTGATAATGATGGAGTGGGTGTGAGGATAATGTTTACATTGGCATGGTAACTGACAACTAACTTTTAAATTCTTATTTCCTATGACTTGAAAGCCATAGCTATGAAGCTCGCTGTCTGGGCAGAAGTGGGTAGCAACAGTAAAGAAGGAAAAGAAGTAACTATTCATGGCCGCGCTAGTAGAGCAATCTGGTATGGGAGGGAGATGCACAGAGCATGCCAAGTCTGGGCTTTGGAGACAAAAAAGCTGCCATGTGGAATCCTCATTCCACTATCCACCTACAGATAATCGTTCGCCCTCTCTAAATTCTTTGTACATAATAGAGTTGATAATTACCTTATGGTTTTATTTTTTAATAAGTCGGATAATGTATATAAAATGCTTATCATAGTACCTGGCATATAATATATG